GTGCAGCCATTACTGCTGTCGAGTCGCAGAACATTTTGCAGCCCAAAGGGAAACCCTGCTTCCACAGCCAGCCAGTCACTCTAGGACCTCTCTTGCAAGGCAGGCAGATATTTCTGCCAGAAAGAGGAAAAGCGTTTGCAAACCGAGGGAGACTTCACGTCAGCTGCGGTGAGGCTGTGCCACACGTTGTCAGCCCCGTGCTCCCCCAGGAGCACCATGACAGCGTGCGACACCAAAGCTTAGTTCCCTGCTCCCGCCACGGTGCTCAGATTATGACCAGTCAGGAGGCTGACACCGTTTCAGTCTTTCCTCTTCTAGAAACTAAATAACCACAAACATGTAAAGAAGAATATGCATGCCTGAGCTGGACATCTTCAAAATCCAGAAACGAGTAGAATGACGGGCAAGGGAGCAGCCAGCCCAGCAGCCCCCCGGGGGTCAGGGAGGGTCCGGTTCTATGGGGCAAAGGATGCGAGGCATAGAACCCAAGCAGGATTAGAAGTTGCGATTGGAACCCCACTGAAGGGCAGGACTCTTTTTTTTTTTTTTTTTAAGATCTTATTTATTTGAGATCGAGAGAGAGCAGGAGCTGGGGTGGGGCAGCGGGAGAGGGAGAGGCAGACTCCCCGCTGAGCAGGGAGCCCAGTGCAGGGCTCCATCCCAGGACCCTCGGATCAGGACCCGAGCCCAAGGCAGATACCTAACAGGCGCAGCCCCCCAGGCACCCCAGGGCAGGACTTTGAAAGACTATGCCTGTATCAGGAGAAGAGAAGGAAGCTGAGTTCCGCAAGGCAGGGGGTGAGGAGGAACAGCCACCCGTTCCCGCCTGAGAACCAGGATAAACGCCCTCACGTTGGCTTAGGACTCTTGTCCCTCGCGTCTTCGGGGAACCCCCAGGGTGAGTAATGAACACAAAAGGTGGCCTTGGGCAGGGGACCATGCTTGGGTGACCGGAAGGAGCCAGAGAATCGCTCAGGTGCAGCGCAGCCCCAGCCCAGGCCCCCCTGCCCGAGGAACAGATGTCCCGGTTGTGGACGTCTGCGATGTTAAAGGCAAGGCTATTTCTGCACGGGAAGTTCTGACGAGGCACAGGAACGAGGATCATCAAGCGGGGTCCCTCCAGATCACCTAGAGGATTTTCAGGAAGAGCCCAGTGGACATGCGCAGCCAAAAGCCTCAGGGAATTCCAAGTGGGACACACGAAAAGGGACTTCCACGGAGCGCTGGACAGTGAGACTGCAGGAGCGCTGCGGACCAAGAGACGACCTTGACCCCTAGATGCTTTACTGCGAGGTTGTTTCCAAGATGTGCACGGTCACTCCCAACCCCACATCCTTCGATGGGGGGAAGGGGTGCGGGAAGGGCCCAAGGAGCAGGGTTCGCGTGGCGCCTCTGCCAAGGATGAGCCGCGAGGCTGTGCAGCTGGATGGATTCTCCGAGCCTCGGTTTCCCGGCCTGGGCCACACGGGTGAGCTCAGTGCTCCCCTGCCAGGGCTGCTGTGAAGAGGAGGGAACACGTGTGCCCCCACGGCACAGAGGGACACACACAGGCTCCCTCCAGGGGGGCGGCTTCCATTCCAGGCCTGCCTGCCATCTCGCGTCACGACACAGAGCAGGGCCTCAAATAGAGAGGCGACTTTTGAGCGGCGGGAGAAGCAACCCACGTTCATCGAGCGCCTGCTGAAGCAGAGAGCTGGGCACCTTCCAGATGCCAACCTTGCTGTGTCCTCCCCGGGGCCTGTGAGGTGGGAGTTCTCGAACAGAATGCCCCCGGGAAGAACTCGAGGCTCAGAGGGATGAAGGGCTGGGCGCGATGGAAAGGCCGGGCCCCGGCTTGTGCCCGTGTGCCCGCAGGGTCTGGAGCCCCTCTTCTCCGTGGCTCCACGGCCCCTTCAGCTGTGCCTGGCCGGGGCGGGGGGAAGCCCACGCTCCCGGCAGCAGTCGTCCTCCACCGCCGATGGAGCCAGGAGGGTGCAAATCCTTTCCCTCATCCAGGGAATCTGGGCGGGAACAGAGGCCTGAGGGGCACCGGGGTGTGGGCAGGGCTGGCTCAGCCAGGGTGCGGCCCCGCCTTCCTCCCTGCCTTGCTGTGAGCTCAGGGTCTGGTTAATGGTAGGTCAGCAAATACTTACTGGAATTAGGGCCTATCTAGCTTTTCTCAAAAGGGAATAATAACATAAACTGACATATAAAAAAATTGGAGAGCAATGTTCTGAGACATCGGGACTGAAAGTGGTGGCTGAGGAGACCAGCTTATGGAAGCTTATGGAAGACCCGTACTGATACAGGGCAGACAGCGAAGAGTTGGACAAGAGGAAATAATGGGGTGCAGGAAGAAAGTAGTAGAGGTTTATTTGTATTGATTTTTATTTTTTTAAAATATTTATCTACCCTAGAGAGAAAAAGGGGGGCTATTGGGAGGGGTAAAGGGAGAGAGACTCCCAGGCAGACTGCCTGCGGAGCATGTAGCCCAACAGGGTAGGGGGTCGATCTCAGGACCCCAAGATCACCACCTGAGCTGAAACTAAGAGTTGGACAATCAACTGAGTGCGCCACCCAGGTACCTCTATTTATAGGCATGTTTTAAAAAAGATTTTACTTATTTGTCGGAGAGAGAAAGAGCAGGTGAGCAGCAGAAGAGGGAGAAAAAGGCCCCACGCTGAGCAGGGCGCCCCACGAGGAACATAATCCCACGACCCTGGGGTCATGACCTGAGCCGAATGCAGACGGTTAATGTACTAAGCCACCCAGGCGCCCCTATGTATATTCATTTTTAAGTGAAAAATGCAGCTTTAATGATTTCACTTGTCCCGCGGAGAATAGCTTTTACAAGAGCGCTACATAATTAGGGGAGTGGGCTTACCATATGTTCTGGAAGGAATGTATGTGCTGTTAAATGTTTGGAGACCATCGCTCTGTCGCCTGTAAATCACCCAAGAACTTCTGGCCACACGAAGCTGCCCCCACCAAAGAGACGTCTGGAGGCCCAGCACCATCCAGCAGTGGCGGGGCCAGGGCTCAGGAATTCAGAGGCAGCGTGGCAGCACTTCCGGAGGTCCCGCCCACGTTCCCGGAAACGTGTGGGGTGCAGAGTGGAGGCTTAGGACTGGCGCTAGCCCCAGGCCGACTTCACGAGCTCCTAGGGAAAGCGATTGGCACGATGAACTGAAGATGAGGTGAAGCCAGAAGAGTGCCGTGCAGCCAGTGCTGAACCATGCTGCCCCTGGCAGGTGCACGGCGACGGCATGGGTGCCCAGGCCCTGGCTGGCGGCTCATCAAGAGCCCAGTGCTGAGCCCTGGGCCATGGCCTGGATGGGCAAGAGTCCCGTCCTTACAGAAGGATGTCGCGCGCACTCATCAGAGAATACAGGTAAGAGCCCTATGATCATCAACATTCACTTAACATGATTTTCTAAAAATTCCGGAATAGAAGAGAATTTCAATCATTTAATAAAAGTTACCTCCCTGAAACCTAAAACAAACACCAAAACTCAGAGAATTCATAGAACCTTTCTGGTATTACCTCATAAATACTTGCTAAAATACTAAAACTTACAAAAGACACAAGGAAACAGGATACAATGGATAAGGAGAAATAGACCACCAGGGGTGTCAAACACTGAAAACAATACATACAGGATACAAAGTAAATTTTTTTAATTAACATATAATGTATTATTTGTTTCAGGGGTACAGGTCTGTGATTCATCAGTCTTACACAATTCACAGCACTCACCGTAGCACATACCCTCCCCAGTGTCCATCACCCAGCCACCGCATCCCTCTCATGCCCCTCCACTCCAGCCACCCTCAGTTTGTTTCCTGAGATTAAGAGTCTCTTATGGTTTGTCCCCCTCTCTGGTTTTGTCTTGTTTCATTTTTTTCCTCCCTTCCCCTATGATCCTCTGTCTTGTTTCTCAAATTCCACATATCAGTGAGATCCTATGATAATTGTCTTTTTCTGATTGACTTATTTCGCTTAGCATAATACCCTCTGTTCCATCCACGTCATTGCAAATGGCAAGATTTCTCTTTTTTTTGTCGGCTGCATAA